AGACGCATACACACACATATACAATGTGAAACACAGATAAACACAAACAGAGACCAATGCAAACAGTTTTTTTTTGATTTTTTGACACACAAACATGCATACATACATGCACATACATACAGAATTTTTCTTATCATAAATTACATGCGTATGTACATACATGCATGCATACGAGCCTACACACATATACACATGCACATACATACATACGTACACACAAACATACGTACATAAATATATACATACATACACACATGCACACATACATACATACATACATACATACAAGATAAAAGTCGAGCAGAAGACGAAAGGAAATATAAAGGAACAAGCTAAGTACATGCAATTGCAGTGGCATTGCAAAAAAAACTGATAAATTTATCACATGGAAGTTTTCTTTATCAATAGACTAGAGGACTCCATACAGACAGGCTAATTCACAAAAATTAAGGAGAAAAGAAGATCGAATAAAAAATCACGTTAATGTAAAGGCGATAGTGTTAATAAAAAACTAAGTGATAAAAAAATCCTTGCAAAGCCGTCTTCTAGTATTTAAGATATTTCATCATTTATATGGATTAGAAAAAAATCGTCATACTAACGAGATCCAGTTGTGGTGCTGAATATGAATGTGTACGACTTCATGGATCGAAACATTCCTATTCCGCTTATATTTATATATCATCTCTACAAGCTTTACTATTTATATATCATCTCTACAAAGTAAAAGGCAGTACGGGCCTCAAAGGCTCTGTAGGGGAAAGGAAGAGGGTAGTAACCAGGGCCAGGAACCACGGCCCATTCAGAGCAGGGTAACGACCGGCAAGGGACGCACCTACCCTACATACAATAGGAATAACCAGAGGTAGGACGTTGGTCGTCCAGAATCCAATGAGGTAGTGAAGAAAAATAAAAAATAAAAAAAAGTCAAGATTGTTGTGGCGCATATTTACAAAAACAGAGTGGCATGTGAAAAAGTCATGTAAAGAGCTGTATGTAAAAAGAAGCATGGCTGTGTTTCATCCCCAAAACTCGAATCTTCCCATTCCCTTCTATCTATTTTTCGCCAGTGATCAAGACGACCCAGTGAAGCAGCAAGGAGATTTTGGCTTTTTTTGGTTTTGCTAAATCTCAATTTTTTAGGTGCTTTGTCAACTATGAATAAATAAAGGTAGAAAAGTGAAACACTGACAATATACACTGCAAACAATCTTTGGAATTGATTTCAAAAGCAAAAATTTCCAGGCTAAATTTCCCAGACGAGCAAAATTCTAGACGAATTTAAAGAAAAAAAAGCCAGAAAGATAAGTGTTGAGAAACAATAACTCCCCATGTACAGATGAAAACACATTTCGGAATGGTCAGCAATAGGATGACCATCACTCGTTCATTATTATAGCAATTGAAGAAAGTTACTAGATAAGTTGGAGAACCAGACAATGAATTAACAATAGCCCCCCCCCCCCCT